CACCTTCCTTTTAGCTTTCGATGGTTGTTTTAGGAGAGAGTAAAGAGTACACTATATTGCATTTGATATTTTTAAGTACACAAATTCGGGTTTTAGTGTTAATTGAGTACACTCGTTAGATTAACACGTTAATACGGCTAAGTTGGCTTACAGAATGATAATAGGTCGACTTCTTAAAGGTCGAAGTCAGTCCGCAACCACTTAATCGACTTCCCCTTAGTCGAAGTCAGTCCCCCCGCAGGTCGACCTCCGAATATTGAATTTCCCTTTTTGGTCAACTTCGTGAAGATCGGCGCCATAAACTTGGTCCATTAACCTCTTTTACTCAACATTCTGTTACACAACTCAGCTATATTAACATGTTAATCTAACAATTGTACTCAATTAACACTAAAACCTCGAATTTGTGTACTTAAGAGGGCTAAATGCAATATAGTGTACTCTTTACTCCACCTCATACAAGTTGATGTACTCAATTGACACTTTCCTCGTTGTTTTAGTGATTATGTGAGTATAAAGGCACAAGTACGTTAGCAAGAATAAGAAATGTAGTAAGTGGATGGAGTTTTATTGGGCCGAAGGCCGAGGGTCTATTCTAAGCTGAGGATGCAAGAGAATAGAAATGCTACTATTCATACTATCACGGGGTAGGCTGTAGTGGTGATGTGGTGGATTATGAATGGCTAATCCCCCAAGCACCAAATCTTGTGTATCTGGTGCATTTAATGTGTTTCCCGCCTAAATCCTTGCTTTACCGCCAAGCACGCTGAGCACTCCGACTGAGACCTCCCAGATTACTCGCAAAATAAGACAATGGAATGAGGTCGAGCGGGGCGTGCCGCTCGGGGTGGGCCAAGTGGGCTATAGGCCTTAACTGTTTCTGGATACAAACCTTCACGGGGTATTGGGCCGATCCTTATTGGGCCAACTACCCTAACACAAGTCCCCCACTTCTGATGTTCCAAGCATGCGCGGGACATAAGAAAGTAGAAAGACTAATCTTGAGTGGCGCAGTCTGGAGCTCCTGATGCAACAACTGTTGTGGCGGTTCCCGAGATTCGAGATGATGGATTTCCGGCGGGCGGTTCAATTTCCCCAATAACCGTAGTGATTACCTGATTATCCACCTTCATGTGGCACATGTCCCGGGCTACGCTCCTCGCCACGTGTCACCTGTTGAATGGGATTTCGAATGGTGGCTTCCACTATACATACCCGTTTTGTGAGAGGGTTAATGCTTTTCGAAATTTTGTCTCCCTTCTCTCTAGGTATTTGAGTTCTCCTCTGCGCCAAGAAGTTTCTTTTTGCCCTTCCCTTGACGCTTGAAACATGTATTCTTCTTCCCTCGATCTCTCCCTTCTCTAATGTATAACTCCTCGGGACATGAATCGGACCCTCGGGCTTCGGGTGAATCCGAGACCCCCTCAGCCGTTAGTGAGGAGCTGGAGGAAATGGTGTGGGGGGTGCTAACGATGCCGCGGAGCAAGGCGAGCACGGTGAAGCCCCACCAGGTGGAGGAAATGATTTTGTTGATGAAGCCTTTTCTGGTGACAATATTGCGGTTTTCGACGCTGGCCGTCCGGATGATCTGCCGCGTCATGAGTTTCTTCAGAAGAATGTTCGGGGCTGTGAACATTATTTCTCTGATCATTTTATGTATCTAATCACAGTCTATTTGTCGCCGCCGATCGTGTATAGCCTACATGGGGCCATACATCTGATGAAACACCGTTTGGGGATGGTTATGGTCGACATGGACTCCGTGATAGTCGGACTCCGTTTCCCGATCCATCCCTTCTTCATCCAACTCTTCCAACAGTATCAGGTGGTCCCCTGCTCAGTTCATGCCAAACTCGTATTGGCTGGTGGTCGGCTTCATCGTGCAGTGTACTTCGATGGTTTCCTGACGATCAACAGCCGCACCGGGTGAAGACTCTTCCACGGTGCCCCCTCCTCCATCAAAGAGTGGAAACACTGATTTCTTTTCGTTCGGTTTCCCGATTGCCAACTGCCAACGTGATGGAATGGTTCCCCCCAAAGGTTGGGGAACCGCGCAACACTGAGGAGCTGGGGGAAGCCATCATAACAGTGCATCTCGGCGGCTCTGAGCATATCGTGGCATATCTGACTCCCAAGGCGCTTTCCGATGGAGGGACATGTACCGCCCCTGGTACTAGATTGATTTTCTCTGAAATTGCCTCAAAAGCCCCAGGCGGTCCTATTTCTGTTCAAGGTGAGTGCCTTTTGGATTCACACCGCCCGGTACTCATATACTTTTTTGGTTTCAGGTCCTCTCGTACCCTCATAAGCTCTGATGGACACTGAAGCACTGAAGTTGGAGCGAGCCACTCATGATGTTACAAAGGAAGCCACTAGGAAGAAGAAGGATGATGGTAGGAGCTCTGCCAAAACCTCAGACGCGACATCCTCTGCCGCCTCCACTAGTGAAAAATAAGCATTCTATAACTAATATTTAATATGGGTTCGTTTAGAACCATTATAGTATATTGACGCGGGGTCCAATTCACAATTAATTAAAGTTTCATCTTATTAGACGAGGCATATTTGTGAATTAAAAAAATATCAATAACGGTTTTGAAACATAACCGTTATAGAAAAGTAAAACGGGGTCATATTTATAAATCTTAAAAAGTTTGATTTGGAACGGGGTATCATTTTTAATTAAAAAAATATACTTTCCATGTTCGTTCAAATCCTAACCCTTATAGAAGATGTTTATTTTTTTTTAACTCCTACGTCTAGGCTTTGAAAAAACATACTTGTACTTCATCAAAAAAACTTAGGGCTTTGAAAGAAGACAAAGAGCCGCCCCTCGTCGACTTATGTAAGGTTTCACGCAGCGAGGAAGTCTCCCAAGTTCACACAGCTCCCCCGTTTTCACATCTACGCCATTATCACAACTCTGCCGTTTCTTGATTTGGGCCTTTCATCTCCCTTGCTCGGCGCTCGGGACTCGTTGTTCCAACAGGTAATTATCTTATCTTACATACTCTATATTTATTTAGTTTTTCTATTCCTAATCGAATCATGTCTATGTTTCTCTGGGATTTGTGTAATAGCATTTCATTTTTGTGAATATCCTAATAATCAATTTGGCGTGTGTTTGGCGTTTTTTATTTCTGTTTTTGGACGCCTCTTGTTTGGCATTTTTGTTTTTGGAAGCTTTGGGTCTTGTTTTGGGATGTTATGGGTCTGGTTTTGTTGGCTTTGTTTGGACGTAGCAGTGGACTGGAAAGGGACATGTCCCCTTGTTTTTTCTTTTTCTAGTTTTAGCAGGTTATGCATTGTTTGCAATTGCCTGCTTTGGATCATTATGTGTTTTCAGGGGTGTCCCACTGAGTTAATATGTTACTAACACGTGAAGCTTGAATAATTTTATTTCTATGGTTTTAGTTTTCTAATGACTATTAACTGTTTGTAAAAATGTCTCAATAAAAATTTGAAACTAATTTTTATTCTCTACATGTGGGTGTTATTTAAAAGAAGGGAGAAAGTGCTATTGACCATTAAGGTCTAGACCAAAGAGCACATTGAACATTGAAGTTATTTTTGGAGCAAAAATGTCAAAACTAAACCTTTTGGGGGCATATTATTTTTGGGGCCTCTCAAATGGTCATATTGACCTTTTGGAGACTTACGGAAGTACTCCATCTTATACTTACATCAGGTTCTCTAATTTTCTAGTTTATTGTATCAATACGCAATTGACTTTAATTTAAAAAGAAAATTATACAAACTTTAAGGTTTTTCAGTTTTTTTCCAGTTTCTTTCTTTCATGTTTTTTTATTGATTTTTTATAAAATGGTTGTTATAATTTACATATTTTATCATTTCCATATACATATATAAACCATCAAATATGTAAATTTGAGAAGAAAGGGAAAAGGGTCATAAAGGATTCATAATAATAAATTTGTGATACTTAAATGATATGAAAATAATATTATGAAGTCCAACATTTATTTAAAAAGATAATTGAAAAACATGAAATAAAGAAACTGAAAAATAAACAAAATAGAAAAACCCTGAAGTCTATAAAATGAATTTCATATTGATATAAGGAGCTAGTATTAAACTCGCAATTTAGTTCAATTTTGTTTTTTTTTGCTCCAAAAATAAGTTTAATGTCCAATGTGCTCCTTGGCCTAGACCTTAGTGGTCAATATGCACCTTCTCTCTTTAAGAGAATAAAACACATGAGAATAAAAAATCTATCCAAATTTGATAATAAATCTAATTCATGCATACTGACATAATGCTATAAAATCTATAACGTATTAGGTTATGTGGTTTTTGTTAAAAAATTATTTACTTGAATGTTCCAATGCACATGTTACAGAAATTAAGATAGTTATGGATCGTAGTTGGATCAATTGTAGACAAACAAGTGATGAGTATGAAAATGGGGTTGAATCTTGTCTGCAATTCGCAAAAACAAATCTGCCCAGCAGTAGTGAAAAGTTTCATTGTCCTTGTGTTAACTGCTTGAATGAGATACGACTAGACACTGAATTAATACGAGAGCATCTCCTGTGCGATGGATTTCTTAAAAGCTATACAATATGGATATGGCACGGTGAGCGGTACAATATGCCCACTACATCATCTCATACAGAGGACGCTGCTGGAGCTGAAATGGGTGATCATTTGGAGGACATGATACGTGACCTTAGAGAAGAGGCTTTTAAGCGATCACATATTTATGAAACACTGTGCGGTGACGCAGAGAAACATTTGTATCCTGGGTGCACCAAATACACACGACTTTCAGCCGTGCTAAAATTGTTTAATTTGAAAGCAAAGAATGGGTGGAGTGATAAGAGCTTCACCGAATTGCTTGTGTTGTTAAAAGATATGCTTCCTAGTGGTAATACATTACCAAACCGCAACTACGAGGCAAAGAAGGTGATTTGTCCTTTAGGTATGGAGTATAAGAAGATACATGCATGTCCGAATGATTGTGCACTGTACAGAAAGGAGTTTGAGAACTTGAATGAGTGTCCGAGATGTGGGATATCACGCTATAAAGTGAAGGACGATGATTCCAGTTGTGATGTAATAAGTGCAACTCGTCCTCCTGTCAAAGTGTTATGGTATCTGCCCATTATTCCAAGGTTGAAGCGGCTCTTCACTAATCCAAAAGAAGCCAAGAACATTAGATGACATGCGGATGAAAGAAAATGTGACGACATGATTCGCCACCCGGCAGATTCTCTTCAGTGGAAAAAAATTGATAGGATGTATCCTGATTTTGGCAATGAGCCAAGGAATTTGAGGTTTGGACTAGCTACAGATGGAATGAATCCATACGGTAACTTAAGTAGCATTCATAGTTCTTGGCCTGTTCTCTTGATAATCTACAATTTATCTCCTTGGTTATGCATGAAACGCAAATATATCATGCTATCGATGTTAATTTCTGGTCATAAACAACCCGGAAATGATATAGACGTTTACTTATCTCCCTTTGTCGAAGACTTGAAGAGACTTTAGGAGGAAGGTATTGATGTGTTTGACGGTTACAAAAATAAAAATTTCAAATTGCGAGCCTTATTGTTATTCTTAAATTACTTGCAGGTACTTGCACAAATTGTGTACTAAAAAGAACAACACACAGTTGTATGGATTCTTTGACCCTCACACCACTCAAGGACAACAAGGACTGCTATCTAGTTCCATATTACTATCCGTAAGTACAAGCTTATGATTAAACTTAAGTAATATCTAAATAATCATCACACATTGTTTCAATTTCAGTAACCACTGGCAGCTATACGTATTCTGTCGTAAGCACAACATGATTGTGTTCTTGTGCTCCTTGGGGAATAAGCCAAAGACAAATGTGAAGAGTGTTTTTGATATGTAAGGATATAATTTTGTTATATCGAATGTGTACTTTTGTTTATTGCAAATCTTGTTTTTATAGCATGACTTATTTCTTGTTTTTTATCTAGGGCAATGCAAGCACATCAAATAACAAAAAATAGGAGGAATTCCAAACCAAGATGGATTGAGCCAATTGTAAACATATTTTTTCATACTTATCATCAATGGTATAAGTTTTTATAATTTTATGCACTTGGGTTGTTTCTGAATCATTTTAAGCACATTATAATCATCATGTCATGTGTAGATCATGAATCATATTAAGAATCAGATTTTGAGTATGGAGATAGCTATTTCATTTTATATATGGTTGTTAATGGCACATTTTTAGCTGCAAAATATAATGAGCATGGAGATTGGAGATAGTTATTTCATTAAGAACCAAATTTTGAGATTCGAGATAGTTATTTCATTTTATACGGTTGTTAATGGCAGATTTTGAGCTGCAAAATATAATGAGCAAGAGTAATGTAAACAGAGTAATAGTAGGTAAGTAGTGAATACATGTTAAAATAAACCATTTCTCTTTGCAGGTATAATTACCTTTTCTGGATATTTTTTGTTTTGTTTTGTATGGTTTGTTTATAGGTTACGTGTAAATAGCTTCTGGCAGTGGTTTTCCGGTGTTTTGTTTAGTTTTCTTTCAGTCTTGAAACCGGCCAGTTAGTTTAGTTAGTTTTTCTGCATTCAATTGTACCAGTGTGTGTATATGAGGGATTAATTGGGTCACACTCGTTAAATACATTGACTAGGTTATACCGGCTGTGTAGTAAATACCAATTTTGCATATTGCTATTTATATTGACTAGATTTGGCAAATATTGTGTGATTACATTAAACTGAGTGATTTTTTTTATGCTACAATATAATATTTACATGTACATCTATTTTTAGTGTAGAATGCAAAGGGGGAGCTATGAGTCTGGGTATTATGTTATGAGGCATATGGAAACTATAATATCTGCAGTTGTTATTGATTCATAGATTGAGATGATGAATTTTTAGATTTCTGTTTCATTAAATGTATACTTATTACTCTTATATTATACTCCCTCCGTCCCAATATAAAAGGCACATTTGCGTTTGGGGAGTTTTTAAGGGTGAACACTGTTTGACACTGTTTAGACACTGTTTGGCACTGTTTTGCACTGTTTTGTTTGCCAAAAAGGGAAATGTGCCTTTTATATTGGGACGGACCGAAAAGGAAAGTGTGCCTTTTATATTGGGACGGAGGGAGTATTTTTTACGACAAAGTTTTACTTCTATTTTCATATTAATATTTTATTGAATGTGTTTCTATTTTTATTTTTGATTTGCAGACATTCAATGTTCAAGAGTCATTTAGTCCACGAGACATTACCGAGACAAGAGAGCGTTGAGCGTCATTTGTTTGTGACACCACAAGCAGTTGCTATTAACAAATATGGTTTTGTTTTGAAGTCTAGAATGAAGTGTTGGTTTGACATGAAACTTTGTACTTTTGACTTGCTAGAACTTGTTGAAACTTTGTAGTTTTTGCTTGGATAAACTTGTAAAACTTTGTAGTTTTGGCTTGGATTGATTGGTGCTACTTGCTATGTGGAACACTGTAATTTTGCTACAATTATCAATATATTTGGCATAATTCTCATTTAATGATTTCATTAAGTTGATACAGTATAAAAAAATATTATGCATAATCTACGGAATATATGGTTTACTTTCTACAAACATTAAAAAACAGTTGGTGATTTAACCCATATAAAAAGGATTTTATATGGGGTATTCCTGGACTGATACGGAAAACATTCTATAACGGTTAGATTCGTAACCGTTATAGAAAACATTTTATAAAGGGTACGACTACCCGACACGAAAAGAGCTCGACTTTCTATATCGCCGGCTTCTATGTCGTTACGGGAACCGACATAAAAAGTGCTTTTTAACCCATATAGAAAGTGTTTTCTACACTAGTGCTCCCACACTGAATGGGAGCATGGTGAGGTGGACCAGCCCTCCTCCTTGGCTGCCCATAATGCCCACACTGAGGGTTCTAGCCTCGGTGCGACCGCATGGGATGTGGAGCCCATTCGGGTTGCAATCGGCCCGCAGGCTGAGGTCCATAAGGAGAGGCCTCCAAAACGGCTCGGTGCTCCGAAATCCGGCCCTAGAGTGTCACACTTATATTTTGTTGATGATAGCTATCTTTTCTTCAGAGCTCGGGAATGGGAGTGCAAGGTGGTTAAAAATATTCCCCACTGGTATGAGGCAAACTCGGGTCAACAAGTTAATTATCAAAAATCTTCAATGACGTTTAGCCCAAACCTCAGTGAAGAACATGGATACAATATTTGCAGGTTGTTGGGAGTTAGTAGGGAGGATAGTAGACCGCGCGCTATTTGGGGCTACCTGCATTAATTGGCCGAAAGATGGATATACTGGGGTATTTGAAGGAGAGAATTACTAAAAGAATTAATAGTTGGAATAACAAATTTTTATCAAAGGCGGGGCGATAAACTTCGTATAAATGAGTTCTCTTTCTTCATTGATGGATTTCGTTCCCACTGAAATAGAAGTAGAGGGAACCCTCTACAGGAATAACAAATCGAAGAAGGCACTGATAGTGAAATTGGGGCAAGAAGAAAGGCGGGCTAAAAAGGTTTCATGATTGCAGTTTATTGACCGCAGCTACAGGACGAGAGCTAAGCTCGCCAGCCAAGCCAGTCTTCAAGAAAAGAAAAGTCTTGGAGGCTTGAAGAGTGAAGCAACCCGCACTAGCCTATTACGTTTTTAAGCAGCAAGCTACGGTCTCACGTTTGCCTCCGGTGGCTAGCCTAGGTTGGGGAAAAATCCAAAACTAGGAAACCTTTCTACGCACGGGGCGGTAAGCTTTCAAGCCGCCACCCTTCACTAGAAGGAGAGGGACGCAGTGAACTATAATTGTGAAAAGATTGGAAGATGAGGCCAAAGAAGGTGATAGCCCTGTAGATTCGTTCCCATGGTTCGATCATGATAAAGACGATTATCCAGGCCATGCCAACATACGCGATGAACATATTTTTGTTACCAAAAGAAATGTGTTCTGAAATAGAGACCATAATGAATGGTTATTGGTGGAGGGGTTAGGATCGGAATAGGAGGGGTATTCGTTGGAAGATGCGGCAAGCCTAAACATCAAGGGGGTTTAGGGTATCGCTCGTTACGGGAGTTTAACATCGCTATGTTGGGTAGACAAGCTTGAAGGCTTGTTAAGTACCCTCAGTCATTAGTGGGGAAATTTTTTAAAGCAAAATGTTTCCCTAACTCTACTTCTTTGCAGGCAAAGCTAAGAAGTACTCCCTCATTTGTATGGAGTAGTATTCTTCCGTCGCAGGAGATGTTAGCACAAGGTATGCGCCGAGAAATTGGAAACGACCAATCGACCTTAGTATGTAAAGAGCGGTGGTTACCGGGGCAGGGAGATGGTATGGGGCATTCTACACCGCCGGGGGGGGATAACATATATGAACGTGGCAGCATTGCTAAATGAAAGGGGGGATAACTGGAATGTCCAGAAAATTGGGGCCCTATTTTCATAAGAACAGAGGAAGGTTATTCTATCCATTCCATTAAGAAGAAGGCCGGTCACGGATGGCATTTGGTGGAGTGCGGATCCCAGAGGTACCTACGGTGTCAAGAGAGGATATAGGTTGCTTAGAGGGGAATATAATATAAGTGGCTGGTTGGGGTGGACAAAAATGTGGGGTTTTCACATCCCTCCCAAAATAAAATGTTTCTTTTGGCAACTAATGTTTGGTGCTCTGCCGACATCGATTAGTCTAAGAAGTAGGAGGGTAGAAATTGAAATCCAGTGCAAGGTCTGTGAGGAGGAGTCAGAAACAAAATCACACCTATTTCAACACTGTCGAGAGGCTCGGGCAGTGTGGCAGCATTTGGGTCTCAGGTTTGTGAGACAGGGGGAGAGTTTTGGTGAGTGGATCCAAAGCTTCTTCGACAACTTGCAGTAGGAGGATCTTTGCTATTTTATCACCCGTCTTTGGAGTTTGTGGAAGGCGCGCAATGATAATGTGTGGAAGGATAGGGAGACATGATGGCTTTAGATTGTGGAAATAGGGAAGGTTGTGTTGAGAAACTGAAGAGGGGCTCGGGGAGGGCTAGTGGCAAAGAGCAAGGAGGATGTTAAACCAAGCTGGAAGAAGCCAACATCGGGAACTATAAAGGTAAATGTTGATGTGGCTTTAGATATTACACGGGGCAAATGGGCATGGGTAGCCCGAGATGAAGGTGGAAATTTTGTCAAGGGAGGTTATCAAACAACAACGGACTGGACTGCTGGTATCTCGGAGGCTATATGAGTTCGAGAGACCCTTGCACATATCAAGATACAGGGTTGGCCACAGGTTAAACTAGAGACAAATTCTAATTTAGTGGTTTCAAGCATTTTAGACAGAGACGGCACATCCTATTTTGATACGATTATAGAAGATATTAGACACACTCTTCAAGATGAAACTAGTATAGAAGCCATTCATTGCAAGAGATCTGCGAATGGAGCAGCTCACACATTAGCTAGGTCTGCCCTTTCCATGTCAAATGGATTATTATTTTTTTCAGTTTCCGCCAAATTGCATTGTATCCCAATTGGAGAACAATAAGTTAAATTAATATAGTTCAGTTTCATTTAAAAAACATAATAATTCATTGAAAAAAATTCTCGAAATAAGAGTAAATAAGTTTTAGAATTCCAAAATAGGAATACTATGTTATTCTTCCAGAAATAAGAGTATAATGGTATTATGTACTCTCATCTTGTAGTCATTACTGCCAAATAGTTACAGTATTGAGCATTCATCATTACAATATTTATTACTCCCTAGCTCGATCCCGTAGAGAGGCTCCCACACGGTTTACGATGTTTGTCTAATCATAAAGTTAACTGGTCCATGTCCGTAATTAATTTTTTTCAATAAATGAAGATACATATTCAGAAGCTACTTTAAAAGTTTTACAAAGCAGCAAAAAAAAACTCAAATTTGATAAAAGTTGAATATATAAAGTAAAAGATTAAGAAGACTTTACGTTGACCAAAGAATAGTAGACAAGAACTTTTGCATGTGACAAAGGTAATGTCATTAATGGCAGTATTTTTCAATCATGACAGTAGCGAGTCATATTTCAGTAAGAACAACATCGTAGTCCTATTTTGGAATTTCAAGTTATTTCCCATGCGAGATTTACCTTAACAAGACTAAAATATGGCCTTTTTCCCAAATAGGAGCACCTAGTTTAAACATCCTTAAATAGGAGCTTTTATTTGTGATTGGACCAAAATACCCCTCACAGCCTTTACCACTGCTGCCCCAGGACTGCGGACTGCCGCCGGACCTCCAGCCACCACTACCAGCCTCCGGCCACCAGAGCACCGACGGAAAATTCCAGATTTTTTTCCTGGCAGCCTGCCAGATTTCTGCCGCCACCGCCGCCGCCGGAATCCGCAGCCGCCGCTGTTGCCACCACCGGACTGCTCCTGCTACCAACAGACTGCCTTGGTTGTGCAAGAGAATGGGGAGGACAATTAATTGAGTTAATTAATTCAATTGGGGATAAAAAAGCAATGGTTAGTCACTTAGTCCTTGATAAGTCTGTATTTAGACACGCATTTGATGCGTGTTCGGATCGGCTTTTGATGGTTTTCCTAGCTTTAAGGTGTTACAAGTCTCAATTTTAGCTCAAGTTATGTTTACCAGGCGTTGGTTCTTTTGTGTTGTTTGGAGTCAAAATCAGGAATTTAGAGTCCGGCACCGGCGCTCGAGAAGCAATCAGGAAGAGTTGGAGAGCGTTCGAGAAAGATTGAGAGTTTTGGAGGCCACCGGGAGATTTACGACAAAGATTTGATGAAGAAAGAGCCTTCGGATCGATCAAAGAAGCATCCGAGAGCGAACATGGAAGAAAATAGCAAGAAAATGGTTCTAGAGCATTCCGCGCGCCCCGCGGGTCGGTTCCGCACGCCCCGCGGGTGATTCTGAGAGCAAGAATTCAAGAAGTCTGAACCGCACTATGTGCGGTCGAAACCGCACACTGCGCGGTCTAGAAATAGCCCCCAGGAGTACCCGCGCGGTTGCATAGTGCGGTCGCCCGCACACCGCGCGGGCGGAGTAAAAGCCGAAGACGAGAATAGCGCGCGTGTACCCGCACGGTGTGCGGTCAACCGCGCGGCCTGATTTTCGGTCTGTTTTCGGATTTTTCTATAAATAGACACCTGTTTTGCCTGTTTTTGACGGATGAGCTTAGAGAGATAAACCCTATTTCGACTTTTGAGAGCTTTTCAAGCCTTGTTCTTCAAGATTAAGGGATTCTTTGTAAGTTCTATCTTTTTAATTAATGACAATTATTTCTATTCATCCCAATTCCATTGATTATT